TAGCCCCATAATAGCTGTTACCCCTTCACTGAGCGTTTTTTCGGGTTGACCGGACACGCCGGTCATATCGACCGGACGCACCCTGCCAGCGTCCGGTCAATGGATAGCTGTCACATCATCCCCGGCTTCAAATACTGAGCGACCGATCTCAACGGTTAAGTTGTGACCGGACGCAGCACAATGTATGACCGGACACAGGACCCCAGTGTCCGGTCACTTCCAGTAAGCCTCCACTCACGACCGAACGCGTCCGATCACGCCCGACCGGACTCACCCAGCGTCCGGTCACTCACAGTCTCCTCTGTGCACTGCCACACCAATGCGACCGGACACACCCAGCCAGCGTTCGGTCACTTTCAACGCTAGCGTCCGGTCGAAGACCGACGCTGCGCGTTTTCTGCTGCCACTGACCGGACGCAGGACCCCAGCGTCCGGTCACTGTGTGACCAGCATCCGATGGACTCTGTGAAATCCTATCTTTTCTATATAGGGCGTCGGTGGCACCGTCGGACTGTCCGCACTCTACGAGCGGACACTCCGCCGGTGGAGTTTTGAACCTTTCTCGCCTCTGTTCCATCGTCGAGTTGATCCATATCAACTCCAACTTCATCTCCTTTGTAAATGTGCTAACACCACCATATGTATGTGTGTTAGCATTTTCACAATCATTTTTCAAAGGATTTGCCACTCAACTTGCCACGCCACTTAATTTTAGCGACGATGCAAAGTTAGATCACTCGAGTGGCACTAGATGACCGATATGCAAACAAGTTTGCCCCTCTTGATAGTATGGTCATCTATCCTAAACCCGGTCATCAACTTCTCTACACACCTATGATCGGTGAAATGAAATGCCCTAGGTTATACCTTTGCCTTGCGCATTCCATTCCATCTCCTCCAATGTTGATGCAACACATGCACCAACATGATCAACAATGATATGATCCACTTCATATCATCACGTGATCATATTGGTTCATCGATCTTGACTTCACTTGCTTTTCACCATTGCCTTCGTCCATCGGTGCCAAGTCTTGCTTAACTTCACCGCCACACGGTCCATCGCTCCAAAGCCTCCAACTTGCCCTTCACGCTTGCAACCGGTCCATCAAGCCAAGTCATGTCTTGATCTTCTCCACCTCGATTACATGACTCAATGTCATGTCTCATTTGTAATGAGCTCCTTCATCATCACATGTGTGAGCTTTGCAACATCTCCAAGCCATTTTCATCTTTATGGCATATGTTGCTCACACACATGCACCTGTGGACTAATCACCTGTGTATCTCACATAAATAAAATTAGTCCACCTAGATTGTCACTCAATTACCAAAACCACACAAGGACCTTTCAGCAGAGCGACAGCGACGAGCTCGAGGCCAAGCGCTGGTACGTAAGCCCTAGATTCGCTACTCATTCACAAGTTGAGCCGTATTTTCTTGTTCCTAGAACTCATATACAATTAGGAAGGAGGATGGTGCATCTGTGCCCAGAGGGACAGCGATGCACGCTCTCTTTTGATTTGGCCTCTGTGCAGAACTGCAGATGGGATTCTGCTACTTTACTGCTAATAGGATTTGATCCGTTTGAGGCAAAGTGATCATAGAATTATGTGCTTGGTACTACGGAACATAGTTATCTTAGGCATTTTGGGCAACTTAGTTTAGTTGTTAGTTTGTTGGATGCTTCATCAGTGAAGTTGCGGTTCTGTTTGGTTTCAGTATAAATAAGTGGAAGCTTTATGTTATTGAAGAATAAATATTGTTGAATTCTGTTGGTTTATTTCTTTGCTCTGTCATACATTTTGGATTTTGGACTTCAAAAGTTTTTATTATAATAAGCTTATGTTCTGATTGGGAAATGAATGATTTACCATGGCTATTGCTTTGCATTTTTATCACAGTTGATAGTGGGATGCGGTCTGTGACAGCAAGGCTGCTGGGCACTGAAATGGAAGCAGGGCACTTAGCTTTGGTGGTGGCAATGGTGTAAGCCGGGCTGTTGCTGGAAGCATCCGTATAGGAGGAGGCCTTTGTACATCTATAGGCCTTGGTGGATCACAAGGGGCCACAAATTGTGATGGCAAGGGTACATATATTGTATTCAATGCTGCTGATATACTATTCATCAGTGACCTCAATTCTCAAGAGAAGGTATTCAGTCATTTTACTGGATGCAAGCTACGCACAGTTTTTGTCAAGGTTCAGTCTTCCTCTTGGCATTATCTGGGTTTAATCCTTTTTCATTTTTCATTTTAGGATGTTGTTTTTCCTTGTATCTCTTTTTTTGCAAGCTATAGTGTTAGAGACAATATCAGTTTATTTTTTTCTGATGTTAATTCTCTATCTTTGATGTTGGTAAAACATGATAGGAAACTATCACTCTGATCATCGGTGTCACTTGTCGAGGTTTAGTTTATGTCAGAAAGTGCAATTTTGATTGTCACGCGTGGAGCAAAATCTAAAGCACCACCGAGGTTACCAGGCAGGCTACAACATGTAAATTCTTGGTGTATGTCAAACTTTCTATTGTATGTAAAAAAACTAGAAGGTTGTGTATGTATCCACTATATTCTGATATCATTGTTGTCATGCAAGTAATCTTTATTTGGTATCATGTCATCATAATCATGTTTTTTATTTTAATAATATAATATGTGATCGATGATTTTTCAAAATCACTAAAACATATAAACCATTTTGGTTATTTAATTTGTGTTGTCCTGAATTTCATCGTAGGGTTAGAACGGGTAATATATTAGTGGGGGGAAAGAATACCGGAGTCGGGACTTGGAGGAGCAGCGAGGACCGAGGAGGCGAGTGCGACTACGTGGGAGACGTGCATGTCCCCTGGTGCGGGTGCGGTAAGCAGAAATTTGGGCTGCTGGGCCTTATTGGGCCTTCGGATGGTGAGGAAAAGGGGTAGGAAAATGTGTTTTTCGGTTGATTGCTGTACAGGGTACTTGACTTTGTCTATTTTTTCATTTTTAATATTATTATAGGATGTGCATTATAATGGAAATAAAATAACACAATAATAATTTAACTTTGGGCGCATGTTATATTATTGTAAAAAAACGATTCTTAAGCTTGATGATGTTCGTAGCATTTCATTTATAAATAATTGCCACTCTTCACGAAGCATGAACAATTAGGACTAGGATATTGGTTGATCTTATGATGAGAACTTTCTAAATTTATGTTATATTTCCCCTAATTCTAATTGGGTGGGGTATAAAGGAATTTGTAGGCCAATTATCCGGTCGGACCCGCGTCATGCGCCAACCACCCCTTCCCTCTCCCTATCCCTCTCCCACGCAACACGGTCCGGCCCACCCTCTCCCTCTCCCACGCGACCACGCGCCCACGCCCGCGCCCCGCCAGAGAGGAAGACGACAACGGCGACAGCTAGGGTTCTGGCCTCTTGCCCTCTTCTTCTCTAACTCCGGCGGGCTTAGAAGGAGGTTCATGGGAAGGCAGGTCGGCCAGGCGGTGGGGATGGCGCGGGAGGGCAGCGTTAGGGTCTTGGTGGCGGTGGAGGCGGCCAGGCCAGGTCAAGGTTAGGGTTTGCATCACTGAGTTTCGGTCCTTTTGTAAGGAAGACATGACACAAATTTTATGCTGAGTCATTAGCTAGATGCAATGAATTGATTTACTTAGAAATTCTGAAGATACATGTCTCATCTTATGAAACTTATTGAGCATAATCAAATGGAATGGTCATCAAAGCTCCTGAGTTTTAGAATGAATTTAAGGTAATTGATTTTATTAGGTTTATTTATAGTACCAAGAAAACTAAAATGATCAGATTATTTATTACAGAAGCAAATAAAATGGTCTTAGTATGATAATCTTTTAGAATAAATCATGTGGATGGAGCATCTGTCTGTGTCCATCAATCTCGAATGCGGTTGTCGCTCGGCTGGCGCTGAGGTAGTCAAGAAAATATTTTTATTTTCCATTGCAACGCACGAACACTAATATTTATATATATACTCGAACCTGCATATAGGATGGTACGAGGATACGGCGCAACTTATTCGTGGATTTATTGGAGTAGGAAAGAAATGGATATCGGAGATTTGTTCCTGCCGATATAAAATATTATCTTAGCCGTATCACGAAAATGTCTATACAGTAGAGTTTGTAAGCCTGCGACGTCGCACTCTCCATGACTGCTAATTTCACGAAATTTGCCTTTTGGATTAAATATCATTTTAACGTCGGTATTTAATTTTACAGTATTGTTATCTTATCGTGCGATCCATGTGTTTTAAGTATAAAAGTTTAGTCGTCCCGTAGCAACGCACGGGCACGCTATCTAGTTAAGTTAAAAATCTTAAATTTATATAACATCGGTATTTATGGCACTAAACGAGCACAACATAAAAATATATTTCATGGTGATCTAAGGCTAGTTTCAATGGTAGTTTTATTTGTATTAAATAGGTTGCCACATAGATATTTTTGTTGACATGACAGTTTATTTAAGAAGAGAGAGAAGAAAGATAAAACTCTCTTAGCACGATTGTGTGTCATGAAATTAAATGCTCATGAAACTGTAGAATGAAACTTTACATTGAGACTGGGTATTTCATCCAAGTTTTATGTCATTATATATGTCTCGGAAACAACGTTATAAAACTATCCACTAAAACTGGCCTAATGACACTAATTTACTGTTATAAATATTAATATTTTCACAGTTTTAGTTAATCTACTAAAAATGATTTAAGACAACTATAAAAATTGATTAATTAATTTATTTATGGAAGGTGGCAACAAGAAGCGAGCGACGAGGGAGCTTGCGACCATTAGCTTAATTGCTTGCATTATTGTCGAGACGAGATCATCGGTCGATCAGAATCAGATCCGGAAGGAACTAGTAACTGTGAAAAGCGCATTAATAATGGCGGTGTTTGTTGGTGTCAAGCGAACGCAAAGAGGATTGAATTGAAGGCCTCCTTTGACCGCACGCCCTGCTGGGTGTATTGTGGGCGATGGGTCGCAAAAGCGAGCACGCGATCGAGGGCTTGTTTCCCGCTGCTGGGTTTCCGGGTGTCTGCGTCGCGTGTGTTCCGGCTGCACCCTAGCCGGCATCTGCTTACTGGATAAACTGCCATCAGAGTCAACGGCAACTTCCAGCGCGCAGATCGACCTGTTCCAGGCGCAGCAGCACCCTGCGGCAGCAGCCAACGGCAGGGTCGCGCTCGTCGTCGTCTCCGGCAACGACTACTCCTACGCCGCCGACAAGGACAACAGCACAAGCGTGAGTTACTACTATACAAACAACAATTACCATATAATATCTGAAGCTGACACTTGCAATGGCACGCAGGCCGCGATCGCGTACATCCCGATTCCCGACGGTCGTATGCTGCGAGACCTTCTTGAGCACCGCCGGCGGCTACTGCGGCCAGCAGGGCGACGACGGGACGAGGCAGTACGCGCTGTGCCACGACCCAAGCAAACACTTCTACTGGGACGTCGTCCACCCCACGCAGGCCGCCTGGGCCGCAGTCGCCGAGACTTTCAGGCCTAAGATCCGCGAGTTCCTCTCCAATTCATTCCAACCCTTTTCAGTTTCTGTTGACACATAAATTAAAAGTTGCTCTAAATAATAACCCAAATTAAAGCTAACCAGATGTTTATGGTTTGGTGTTGGATTCCTTGCGATGGAACCTGTCCACCCGGATTAAGTTCTCGACTTGACACGAGTGCTCATATTTTCCTGAATTTATTTTAAGATTTAACGGCGCTATGCTTTCAGTGGAAGCAACATCCCGTCGGACTTCGTAATCTCGAGATCTGTCGACTCAGTCCTTCGGAGGTGCTTATAGGGATAAGGTTTGCGTACGTATGTTCATATTGTGGACGTCTACGTTATACTGTTTAAGTCTCAGAAACAAAAAAAAAATTGTTTATGGTTTGCCCGCCCGATAATCATTACTGAAATGATCATGTAAAAATGTCCGTGTCAGTTTTTCTTGGAACAACGTAAGGCAGACAAAGAGTCATGACGACGCAATCTTTCGCAAAAATACACACGGACAGAGGCCAGCACTGCATACTGAACCATCAAAGACTAACATTGCTTTGGAAACAAAAAAGGACATGAGTTTATCCGACCTTCTACATTTTTTACTGTTACAAAATAATCACCAGCCAGGCGACCTCAGCTTCTTTTTTCTACTGTTACACAGCGTTACAGCTAACGGGTTCAAAATCAGTGTTTGCCTGAGGTCGCCTCCCTCGCTAAACCATCTACCAGTTACAAGCACAACTAATTGATTGGTTCATATAGACTTATCAAGATTGCTATCCTATCATACTTACCGAGAGGTCAGTAAGTCCCCAGCAACCAGACTGGAGCAGCTACGAGGTGATCACGTTGTCATTGTCATTGGCTTCTGGTGCTGGTTGTGGCGCCGGTGTGGCATCCATTGGGTCAACTTTGCTCTTAGCAGCTTCATACTCTGATAGGAGATCCATAAACTCGTTGAGCAGCCGCTGGACTTTCCGGTTCGATGCCATCGATGGAAGTATGTCTTCCCTGAGAAGTTTGTGCTTCTTCATCCCCTGTACAATTGGCATCAGTTACTTTACAAACTGGAGATCATGTACGCTAAGAACATGAGAACTGGAGTGTCATCTATTTACAGTTCATGAACCCTAATGGTTATCTAGAAAGATGATGGATCTAGTATGCACATGGTGAGTGAAAGACAGACTTACGAGAACATCAGGATCCCACGATGGATTTTTGGGTTCCGTAGATGATGCAGATCCAAGCATGCCCAACGGAGGACCTAGGAAGTTCTCACAAACCTCACGTAAACGAGATTCGTCTGCCTCTCTGCATATAAAGAAATAAAATAAATGTGTCAGTAAATCATCACCAGCTAATTTCCATCGGACAAAGATATTGACATATTTTGTCGGTCAGTTCAACAGACACAGCTGAGCACCCACATAACCAACCTTGCCAGAAACCGTATGTAGGATAGAAGGCATTGGCGATACTCCTGTGGTGACTTCAAAGCCAAAGAAGCAGCCAACTGGGTCTCTAAATGGGCACGTGTCTGCAAACCATCATCTGTAACCCTGAAACAGAAACTCCCACATCAGTATGTTTAGAGCAAACTCTGATATGTAGTACATTAGCATGCCACAGACATAATTTCAAGTGTTCATAAATACTAAAGCAATCAAAGCGGCATGCAGACCTGCTCCATATAGGCTTTCTAGCCATGAACTTGCCTAGATCAATCTGCAACTTGCCTAGCTCTCCACCTTGGGGGGAACTAAATGAGCTAGCAAAATTTGATGCTGGAAAACAATCATCGGCAATCCTTAACCAGCACTTCATGCTCATGTCAAAAAGAAAAGCATGGCGACTGGCAAGGACAACTAAGGGAAAACCACATCTTGAGAATTTAGCAGATATAACCTTTACTGCACCTGTCAACAAGGCAAAGATAACTACTAAGCACAGAATAGCCATCTCAGGCTGTATGTGGAACTGAAGACTAGATGTACAAACAGTTACCAGCATGATTTGCTGACGACTCATCTGGAGATGCAACCAAAGCAGCCAATGAGTCCTGCAAAATGCAGGTCCTGTTATAGAGGTCCCATATGTACATTAGACCTCTTCTTGTGACAAGAAGCAATTTCCAGCAGTCGTCACAATCTATAAAAACGGCTGCAGATCCCATCATCATTGCCGGCATTGCTCGTCTTCCACATTTTGTGTAAACCTAGTTAATTAAGAGCAGTCGATTGTGAGAACACAGAAGCCTATTCCAATAATAATTGACTGGGGTTACATAGTACTCCCTCATTTTCAAAATGGAAGGAGCAGTTTGATCCGGCGTGGTCTCCAATGTCACACTTTGACCATCAATATCTCATATATATTATAATTTATGAACATGAAATTTGAAATCATACTTAATTTGCACGGTATAATCTACAAGTTCTTAGAGTAATTGTAACTAACACTAAAAAGTTCAAATCTTCAGTTGTGTGCGCGCCTTACAAAAAAAGGAGGGCGGTAGCATCCATTTAAAAAGATAAAATCAATCTATAAGAAATTCAGATAAGAAAATATTGCTCACCTGCAGGTAACCATCTTCACAGCCAACAGCCCAGAAATTTGCATTGCCTGCCAAGACAGTAACCTTTGCAGATATACGATCCAACCAAAGAGTTTCTGTTCCTCTTGTACACCTTATCTCAGTTTCTTTTGTTGAAAAGGCACCACCAACACCAATCATATCACCTGCAGTGCGTTCTACAGGCTTTGCTTCAAGGCAGACTGGCAAGGAATCCTCATTGTCTTTCTTAACTAACACATGTATAGAAAGCGAGGAGCAGGTCAAAGAGCCTGGAACAACAGATCCAATGCGTTCTACACTCAACATTCCATCACTGCCAGCACTGGTTGAAGCTTTTTGAATAACAAGACTCTCTGTAATGTTCGCCCTTGCTGTGACACCAGAGCGATCCTTAACTCCAGAGTTGTTACAGTTACCATTACTACCATAAGATATCCCATTCATTCGCTGATCTAGGGATGAAAAATCCACAACCTGGTTCTGAGAACGGCTGGGTATGTTATCCTGGTTGGAAGGAAATCCAACAGCCTCTGGGATTATTCTTTTCCGGCCATCAGGACGCCGGTATTCCCTCTGCTTCACTGGACTAGATAACCGAGTAACTTTATTCATATCATCAGCAGCAGGACCTGATGTTTTCTTCTCAGCTTCAGGTAAAGCTTCAGGAGCTTTCTTACTTTGCACAACAGGAGCTGGGTTAGGCACATCTGCAGAAACTTTTGGGGGTGCTTGAAATTGCTGGACAATGGAAGTCCCCTTTTTGCTAGCCGATTGCTTTGCTGATGCTTCTTCTAGCAGTAACTGTGCAGGGCTTTCAGCAAGATTTGATTGTCGTCCTCTGACATCACCATATCTACTCCTCTTCAATTCATCCAGTTCAGAATCACTTAACTTGTATCCAAGCTCCTTTGCTTCAAAGTGAAAGTTGGCAACAGATCCATCCAAGGAACATGCAAAAAGTGAATAACCATCAGGGCTCCTATCAGTGAAAAGCAGATTATCACCGTGAGCTTGGGTATATGGGTAATAATAACTATATAGAGGAACAAACGGAGATGCCTTACCAAGATAAATCAACCACACTTTGAGAGAAAAAATGCTTAGCAACAAACAATGGCCGCGCACTCGCTGTTGTCCAAACAGTAATTGTTCTGTCCTGACTTCCAATAGCAATAACATTATATGGTTGCTGTTCTTTTGATGATATCTTTGATGTTCCATTGGCCCAACCAGCTGGTGCAGCTTTTGTGTCTTGACCATTTGAGAAATTCTTACGAAACATTGAGTTATTAAACTTAACAACAACGATAGGTGCGTTATGCCCTAGAAAGTCAAAGGTAGCAGACCACTCGCTTCTTTCAAGCACAGGGGCTGAATGCCTAGGTTTCTGGAAGCCGTGAGTCGTAGTAATGAAGTGGCCACAAGGTGACCATGCAAGTCGCCTAAAAAATGTTGAACCAAGCTGCAGGAAGAAGGAAAGTAAGAAAGGATTGCACGGAGGGCATGTTGATCATAGTAAATTATAAAATTCAGGAAACATAACATACAGATTTTTCCCAATGGCCTTCTGTCTTGTGAGCAAGACTCCAGTCGCTTGTACGCCATATTATAACAGTCTTATCATCTGATTGGCTTGCAATGAAAGAGCCAATAGGATCCCAGGTAACACCTTTGACCAAGCTGGAATGCCCTCTCAAGACGGCAGTGCACATACCATTGGTCATGTTCCATATGTGAACAGTATTATCCAAGCTGCCACTAGCCAATGTTGAATCATCAGGGGACCAATTAAGATCTACCTACTTTAGGCATAGGAAAAGAAAAGGGTGTTCAACAGTTAGACAGTTACAATAACAAAATAATAAGAACTAAAGAAAGAGTAACAGCACAAATTCTACAAATGCTTATTTAAGAAAAACTAGGCAGGATATACAGCATGGGTGAAGATAATTACCACGTCTGCAGTATGCCCTCTTAAGGTCATAACAACCTTCCAATTCTCTACATCTGGAGGTTCCCCACTACCAAACTCAGATGTTCCAGAACCAGCTTTTCGCTCATGAATTAGGATAACCTGATCATCTGATCCAGAAGCCAGATAGCGGCCATGCCTTGCCCATCTCACACAATTTACTGATCCAAAATGATCACGCATTGTAGCTAGCAACCCTTGGCTGGAATCATTGTTGGCATTATTCTTATCCACAGATTTCATGCTCCATATTCGAACCTATTGCAACACCACAGCAAATAAAAGGAACTTAGTAAGGAGGTCACTTATGAATGATAAAAGGAAAATATGAAACAGTTGTTACATCTCAGTATCACATAACAAGTTACAGACAAATATGTGTTAACATGACAAGAAATCACAACCAACTAAATCTTAAAATTTTCAATTATCACTCAACAATGAAATTACCAATATTCTCAGTACAGAATGATATCAATGCCAAACCTTAAGTTTGACGAACACTCAGTAAGCAATATATATTATAATGCAACATGCTAGCTAATATGAACTAAAAACAACATAGTGAACCCCATGAGATTAAAATTTGGGACGATGAATAGTGACTTCACAATAAATGCCAGTTGAAAATCCAGTCACTAAATCACTAATTCCACAATTAGATCAGACATACTGCTAATGGCAAGGTTATGTATGAATAGAGAATTGTTAGCCAAAGGTGTGTTCTAACGAAAAAAAATACAATATACATTTTGGGATGGAAGGCATCGACCCCCACCCCGGAAACGTCATCCCCGACCTGGGTAAGCGGGGGTCATTTTCGACCCCGCCATGTAAAAACCTCTCACAAGTAGTGTATCATGTTCCACAACATGTCAACAAGGGAACTTTGTGACTATGCCCAAATTAATACCTTAACCAAACAAGCTGGACCCAAGAATGCAAGGGAATGCTCATAAACTACTAGTAGTGGAGGACTCAAGAGACTTCTAGAGCCTAGGCAAAGTATGATGAATGTTTGCTATAAACAATTTGTTTTCAATCCTTACGATAAAACTAAAATTCAATTGAGTGTTCGCCAAGGAGCCCGGCGGCCGGTTGGCCAGGGTCACCTAGCAGCGAGTCCACTCTGGTTACATGCAATCCTTAACCTCCAAATACTTTCAGCTGGGGATATCACTGAAGCACAATTAGCACGCAAGTGTTAACCTATTATATAGCGCTGAAAAAGTCCAAGATAGGGCAAGTCAGCAGGAAAAAAAACAATGAAATGAAAAAGATAAAAGAGAAAGGGAAAATTACAGTGCTGAGCTCGGATTAAACAAGAAGCAGGTAAAGGAAAAACAACAAAAACAAAAACACAGGATACCTTCTGGTCGCCGCCGCCAGTGGCGAAGCGGAGGCCGCCGGGCTGGATGTCGATAGAGAAGATCTGCAGGCCCTCGTGGCGAATCCAGCTTGGCTTCTCCGTAATCATCTCCTCAAGCCCTAGATTCCTCCGTAATCATCTCATGACACCTCTATATGAAATTACACACTGCTCGTGCATTACAGTCCCAAACCGACGAGACCATGATGCCCAAAACCCTAGAATTCGGCAGCAGCGAAAACCCTAGCAGGGGACGACTGATAAAGGGAATAGGGTGGGCAAATCGGACAGCACTAGAGGTGTAAAGCTTGGAGGAGTAGGGATCCGGAGGTCACTCGGCGGCGGCGGGCGGATTCGATCGGCGCGGCGGCGGCGGAGCCAAGAACACGGCGATGGGGACGAACGTGTTCGTCCTGTTCGTGTGAGAAAGGAAAAAAACAAAAACGAACGAAAAACGAAAACGAATTCGAATGAAAATTGAACTGAACTGGAAAGTGTGAAGGAAAGGCAGAGATGTGTCGAGAATTAAATTTTCTTTTTGGTCCCTTTTTCTCTCTCTTATAAATCGTATACCGTTCAATGAAGTTGCATGCTTTAAGATTAGTACTTTGGAGAAGGAACATTGGATGGCAGTAATTATAACGTAGTAGAGCACGTGTATTCTTTGCTTGACCTCTACTGTCTTTACGAAAGGTCAAGTTGGTTTATGTATTTGTTTATTCATTTATTTATTTGTTTGTTATCATATACAAGAGCTTGAATTCACAAGCTTTGCAATTGGCACTGTCAGATAGATTGTTCACACGAAAGAAATTGAAAGGCAGCGGACACAGAAATTCAGCGCTAGCAAAAGCAATATGCTAATATTCTGTGCTCAACAGATGTGTCGCCGAGCCAAGTAGCGTTGGCTTGTCACCCAAGCGGGAGCGTTAAGGTGGTGCGGATGCCTCTGTGTGGCTCTTTGGGCCCTGGGCCTGTGGTTGCTTTCACTGCCTTCCCCTTCTAGGTTTGAGTAGTGGCCTTGCAGTCTTAAGTAAGGATGAAAACGGAAAGAAAATATTTCGAACCGAACCGTATCGTTTTCTATATTTGACCTGAGCGAATTCGTATTTTCGGACAAAATACGGAATACTAAATTCGAATTCAAAATACAGAATACTAAATTCGAAATCGGATCAAATTCGATTTAGGCTTTGTTCGACCGATTTCTAGTTTTCTACATTTTATTCGGAGTCTTCCGTATTCTAAATTCGGTTACCGAATTTGGTTCAGCTCACGCACGAACAGCCCACCTGCGCCCTCGGGCTGACACGACCTTAGCCTCCCAACGGCCCAAATTAACCCCACCTCCTCTCGTGGCCCTCAGCCGACGCACAAAGCCCAAGCCGCCCGGGCTTTCGCTCATGACTGTCCCTTCCCTCCTTTGCCCCAACACAGCACAGATGGCCCCCAGGCCCAAGCCAAGGCCTGTGTGGCCCATGATCACGCGCCCCAGCACCCAAACCCTAGAGCAGAGGCGCTCCCGACCACCCCCAGGTGCCGTCACCGCTGCCTGTCCATTCCCTTCCTCGACGCCCGTACCCAGCGCCGCGGGATGAGCGTCGCGTGTCCTGGAGCCCACACGGACGCCAAGGATGGCCGGCGCCCCCCTTAGGAACCCTAGACTTGTTATGTATTTGGTCGTGCACTTGTTTAATGCTATACACTTGAACTAGATCATGCACTTGTTAGTTGTGAACTTGTTATGTATTTGGTCGTGCACTTGTTTAATGCTATGCACTGTGGGTCGGTATTTCGTATTGAATTTTCACACACCGATCGTGTTTGACATAATTCCGCTCGAATTGGTTGGTTTCCGAAATTCTAGATATTCCGTAAGTTCGTGTTCGTTCGTTTTCGTGTCCGGCTTATCCGCTTTCGCTTTCGTTTTTCAAATGTAAAAGTAGAAAACGGTTGAGGAGTTTTTCGACCGAGTTCGACCGTTTTCATCCTTAGTCTTCAGCACCTTTGGACGGTGGACAATGCATGAGTCGCTGGGTTGTATTAAAATTGTCGTACCCGGCCCACTTACTCTAACTTGGAAGATTAATAATGCTTGTGCTCGTTCTCGGCACCTCCACGCTTCCCTCGGCAAAGGTAGGGCCGTCGCAGTAGCGTGGTAGGACGAGTGTAGCGCATGGCATGGCAGTTCGAGGCGAGCATGACAGGACCTAACGTGGCAACATGGGTGCGGCACCACATCGACGATGTAACATAAGCAGGCAAACACGGCGTGGTAAGACTGGCTCCAACAAGGAATGCATATGGGAAACTAAACCCAAAATGGATAGCGAGAGATCAAAAATCAGCCTCCAACAGAGTACCTATACAGAAGACCTATTTTGGGTTGCCTGACAGGCACAACCCAAATATGGACATCCTCTTTTCTGGAAACCCATTTGCAGAAATGATTATCTTTTGGGTCCTATTGTTGGAGAAGATGTTGAATATGTATTGAACTCTTTGCCTGTAGCGCTACCCAAAGGATTTATGTGTCTTGTATTTTGGGTGTTATTATTGGAGATAGCCTAAGGCAAGCACGGTGAACGGCTATGCGGGTGAGGTGGGCATTCCCAGTGTAGCTGGAGCGAGGACAATGCAGTTCGGGGGTGGATGGACCGGAATGATATAATAATGCAACTTTAAGGAGCTGAGTGTGCGATTTGCAAGTACCGGGATCAAAATAAGAACTTAAAACGAGTTTAAAGAGCCAATTGTGTAATTAGCGAATACCGAGAGCCAGATGAGAACTTCGGGCAAGTTTAAGGAGTCAAACATACATTTGCAAGTGAGGAGACGTAGATTAGAACTCGAGACAAGTTAAAAGAGCCCCTTGTGAAATTTAGTCTTTTTAAAAAGATATATAAGTTAATATGACGTTGCAAAATACCTGCAGCTTCCTCTTGTAACACCGTGGCAAAAATAGCTGCTAGGTTTCTGATAAAGCTGCATTCTTTTTTCAGTAATATATATGTCAAACTATTTATATCTGCAGTAGGCCTAAATGATTGTAGCTTTATACGGTCTAATATAATATGCCAACATACTTCCAGGTCTTTAAATCCATCGATTTAACTAAAAAAATCAAACTTATCAGCCAGTCAGCCTGTTCGCTGGTTGATTTCTACACTAATAAATCTAACTGGTGCTGGTTTGTTGTGAGAGAAAAATATTATATCATAACTGATAAGCCATGACTAAAACCAACAAGTGAAAATGCTGAATGTATGGACCCCTTTTGGGCGCCAGCTGTAAGAACTAGCTGCCCACACAGAAGTTAACACTTAACAGTGATCCCATCCTAATGCAGCTAATGAGTGGTTGTTTCGTGTTAGAAACAACTATTCCTGACTTTACATCGTTAGCGCCATCGCGTTCGCTTTATTCCCTTTCCCACCCTCTTTTCACAGTGAGTGTAGTACAACTTAGGGGCTGTTTGGCATATCTTTTTGTAGCTCCGGCTCCTCCACTGTACAACACTGTAGCATAGAGCCGTTGAAGCTGCAAATCATGGCTTCTCCGGCTCCTCTTTGTAGTTCATTTTTTTTCTCGGAAATCGAAATGGCTCTTTACTACAGTGCAAACAGTGATGCTACATAAAATAAGATGAGGAGCCGGAGCCGTCCGGAGCTGCACCAAAGGGGCCTTAGTGTTCAATGGACTTTTGTAGCTCTCAACTCATCAATCATATCGATGTTAGAAAAAAATAGTCACATCCATCTTATTGAACATGGGAACCGACGAACATCCACGTCCTAGGCTGACACTGAATTGTTAGTTTGTTAGTACCATCTAGATTAGTCACAAAATCAACTGTAGAATTCAACTTAAGTGTGAAGAATTTGCCCAACATTGTATATAGAGTATATATAACTGAAGTAAGTTCAGGTAAGTTCGGATTAATTATGTACAACAAGCAGCTCGGAAATTACTGCCCTGTTCACTTCTGCCCTACCGTTTTAGCGAAATAATAGTGTTTTTCTCTTACAACATATCAGTATCAGCTTCAACCGTTTTTTCAGCCAGCCGAACAGAACATAGGTTGATTTCTCCACACGAAATCATGCACAAGCACGAGCTTGATTATTCTGTAGATCTAAGAATCTAAGCAGTGAAGCAAGGGCGCGCGAGCCACTGAAACATTCGCACAAGAGATTACGATTCCACCTCTGCCTGATCGTCCGGAGGCTCCATGAACACCACGGGCGCGACCAGCGCGAGCGTGTTGGTGTGCGCGGCGTACTCCACGGCGCCCCAGTCCTTGCCGGCCGGCTGATCAGGCAGGACGGCCTCACGCCGCCGCCGCGTCACCGTCTCGAACGCCACCACTCTCCTGCCGGCCAGCACAACCACCTCCACCTCGGCGCCCTGGAACGGCAGCAGCCTCACGTCGTCGCTCGGCACCCGTACCCTGCTGTACCTGTTCGCCACGGCAATGACAGCCCCCGCGCGCTCCACCTCTGCCTGACCCGCCGCCTCCTCCTCGTCGTCGTCCTCGGAGTCGGACAGCTCGAAAGCGGGCTCCGGTTGCCAAGGCCGCTGCAGTATCTCGGCGACGGAGACCGCGGCGGCCACCTCCCAGCCACCGTGCCTGTCGAGCCGGAACACCACGACGTCGCCCCCGTCGCGCACGGCGCAGTGGAGCCTGCCCTCGGCCGAGCCGATCTCCCACTGGGCGCTGTCCCCAGGGCACAGCGCGAGGTCGACGCGTCCCGTGACAGGGCTGTACCCGACGGCGGTGCCGATGGCTGTCCGCCACCAGGCCGTCCCGCCGGCATCGACGCCCGAGGAAGGGACGAGCCCCTCGGCGGGCGCGATCGCGTCGGCGACCCACCACACACCGGTCCCCGACGCGAACACCGCGAAGCAGTAGATGCCGGAGCCTGGCGCCGACTCGAAGGCGCAGACGAGCGCGTAGTCGCCGCGGAAGTTGTAGACGCCGGCGTCGAAGAGGACGACGACCGCGGGGCGCGGCCAGGTGATCCGGCACGGCGGGCACGGCACGCCGTGCCAGGACCCCGTCGCCGGGTTGCACACGAAGTAGGCGTCGTCGGCCGGGGAGAAGCAGCACGCGAGGCCGCGCGAGGACGACAGCACGGTGGGCGGCGACGAGGCCGGGAGGAAGGCCAGGGCCGGGGACGGCACGGTGTCGGCGGCGTCGAGCGGGAGGAAGTAGCCCGCGGTCGCAATGAAGAGGCCCGAGGCCCTGCGCGGGGTGGCGGCGTGCGTGACGGCGAAGAGCGGGGACGCGAGCGCCCGCGCCCAGGACGGGTGCACCAGGCGGAGGCGCGCCGCGGCGGCCGGCGGGAGGTGCAGCAGCGCGTGGTCGCGGAGCACGGTGGCCAGCGGCGCCCGGATGGCGCGCGCGATCGCGAGCTCGCGCTCCCGCCGCAGCCGCCGACGCGCCGCGTCCCGGAACGAGCGCTGTTGGTGCTGGTCCCCGTCGTCGCTCGACGGCGCTGTGTCCGCGCCGGCGCCGGACATGGGCGGCGGTGGCGATGATGGATCGGCGATACTACGATGGCTGGGTCCTGGGCGGCCGAGGGGGAGCAACCGTCTTGGAAGTCCGGGGGCCGATCGCTGCTCGTCTAGCCAGTCGACGGGTAGTGGAAGCGGACGTGGGCGGAGTCGTGGAAATTGCACGGGCGTTTCGTTTTCGTTGTGGCGAAGGAATCGCGCGGGCCCTGCGTTGACGCGTGCCGAGGGGTCACAGGTCAAGGAGCGAGGAGCGAGGAGAGGAGAATGCAACTGGGGTTTGCTTTTGTCGTGCACTGGCCGCTAGCGCTCGTCTTCGTCTCGGCCTCGACGGTGCCGCAGCATGAGCCGACCGGGCGGGACTGGCTGAGGGAGCGACGATGGCACAGGTTGGTTCCGGCGGACTTGTCAACGTCAACGACGACAGACACGTTTTCGCGAACCTCCAATCCAAACCCCAAATGTGCCGGCAAATTCGTGTCAGCTACATGGGCCAATACTCGCCATGGGCCGGACATGTACATCACTGCAAGCCCAAGATGGGAAGCTAGGAGTATAAAGGAAGAAAGTCAACGGAGGATGGGGGCATCGAAGAATTATTCAAAAATTATTGAGCCTATTCGCTGGTTGAGCCTGATGTTGGTTTAAGCTGGCTGATGCTGATTTTTTATGAGAGAAAAACACTATTGACTAACTGGTTTTGGCTAGCTAAAATCAGCAAGCGAACAGGCTGACTGTTCTTCTTCCTTTACGGTTCTTCTTCCCCAATTTCCCATTCCTGTACCCTAGGCCCTTCTCCTTCTAGAAACTTCTACTAGAAACTTCTAGTAGCTACTCCTTGCTTCTCTGATCTGTACTCTGTGCTGCCTCCTTCCCCTGCTCCTGTTCATCTCAGCTGTACCGAATCACTACTTGACTATACTGTTGGTGTGGGTCGCTAACAATTGGTATCAGAGACAGTCAATTCTCGATCTAGCACCATGAATCCCCCTACCGAGATCTCTCCTTCTATCCGCTTCCTCCTCGACGAGATCCACAGGAGGTTCGATGAGTTCGACGCTCGGATGGAGCAGCGTTTCTCGCGGGCCATCGCTGCGCTGGAGCCGCGGGACGCCGCCGTCGAGATCCGCATCGACAGTTTCGAGCAGTTTGGCGCGACACCGCAGGTCGAGGCCGACAACTGGGGCGGCCACTTCAACAAAGGCGACGACTCCGACGAGCAGCACTGCGGGGCACGATCCATCGTCGCCGATAACTAGGGTGGGTTGTTCGAGCAGCCTGCCCACATCCTGGAGGAGTCGGCTGCCACCGACGCTGCTGACGGCGCCGACATCTCCCTCGTGCTCGCGTCCGACGCCGAGGTGGTCCCAGACAACTGGGGAGGGCTGTTCGAGCAGCCTGCCCACGACCCGGAGGAGCGCGACCTCGACCTCTCTGCCATCGATGTCTTCGGCTCCGCCCAGATCCGCAGCGAGCACGGCCACGAGCCCGCTCCCATGCTCGACGCCGCGGAGCGTCCTCATCGCCTAGCCACCGCGCTCGACGACATCGTCGACCTCGACCGCCTCAGCCTCCTTCCAGATGTGCTCCTCCGCGACATCGTCTCCCGCCTCCCCATCAAGGATGCCGCGCGCACGGCGGTGCTTTCCCGCCGCTGGAGGCCTCTCTGCGCCTCCCCATTCGTGTCGCTAGTGCAGATGGAGGCGCAACCCTTCTTCCTTGTCGCATGCACCAAGCAGGAGCGGCGCCCCATCATCCGCACCGAGGGGATGGGTGCCAGCAGCCGCGTCTTCGTCGGCGTGAACATACAGCGGCTCCACGATGACTTCGCGCCCGATGACCCCGGCCTTCTCCACTGTGTCTGCCTCGGCCCCGTCATGTGTGTGCTCCGTGCCACCCCACTCGGTGGCTACGATGGCTCCCTCGACGACGACCTGGAGTCCGGCATCACCCACTTCGACGCGCCGCTCGACCGAGCCATCGGTCGTGATGGCCAGGCACCCCCCGCGGCTGCCACGCTCCGCGCCGATGCTGTGGGGGCTGCAGGTGGTGGGCTGCTGGCTTGGGTGATGGCTGCGAGGACAGCGCAGGCCATATGTTCGATGATTTGCCTGGCTGGCGACAGCAGCTTCGCCGACGTCCCCATCGGCGCGCTCTGGGAGGAGGAGATGCTCCGCTGGGGCGACAACAACCATGGGCTGGCCCCGATGTTCTACATGGCCGAGCTCGAGGTGGGCGAGCTCCGACAGAGAGTGCTTCATCCCCTGGCGGAGCTCCAGGAGCCGTGGCCTGTGGTTACCCAGGTTGTTCCTGGCGAGCTCGCACAAACATCACCCTCATGGTGTTCGACACCAGGTCACAACCATGCTGGGTGCGCCCCTGATTCAGTGACCACTGCACCGGTTCCTTCGTCGATCCTTGCTGCGGCGCTGGCGTTTCCTTCCATACCTGAGCCAGTGGAAGCAGCAGAAGAGTTTACCTTTGTCGTCGACTCACACTCCACCCTTGGGCCTGCTATTGTGGTATTCCAGGATGTTGCAGAGCATAACCAGCCAAGGTATTTCACTGCTAATCTCGCCCATGCATACTTAGTTGATGGTGCTACTGTTCTGCAACCATTGCAACTCATGCTGTTCCGAGGGTGTCTGAGGGAATTCTTGCTCAGAATCTAGTGCAGTTAAGGCAACCATGGCCTCCACCTATGGAGTTTGCGTGCTTGGGTAATGGAGTTGAACCATGCTTGTTGTTTGGAGTCACCCAAGGTGTCATGGTGCCCAAGCCTCCTTGGCCACCTCCCAAAGCAAAGGGATATGGTTTCAGTTATCAGTGAGTTATGTGCTTCACCGTGCAGTGCACCAGTGTAGGGTCACATTCATCCATTGTATGAAATATCAAGAGGGTTGGAAACATTGGCTTGAGTTACTTCAAGGTGCAGTGCAAGATGAACTCAATTGCAGGGAGACAGTTCACTGGCTTCAATCATTTTGTGCTGCTATAATTCTCTTACATCTCATCAATGATAGGAGAGCTATGCTGCTACTTAGTGTTAGTCAATGGGGCCTGATTATACTACATGCATCATGCTCAAAAGAGTATCTCCTGTGGGAGGTGAACATCTCGTGGTTACAGTAACATCTAATATGCAACCACTATTTCAGTGTTGTCCAATTGCAGTAGCAAGGATACGTGCTGTTGATGTGTCAGCAACTCAGATGGAAACTCGAATTCTTCAAATTACAATTGTGAGATGTTCTTGCCATTTGCTTGTTCTGGTAGAACTTATGAATGGGAAAACTGATTCTACAGTCACATATTATTATATGCACACTTGTTGGGACTGCAACTCACTCTCCATCCTTGCATATGGCAAGTATTTGGTAACTCCTTTGTTGGTTCAGGATGGAAATCAACAGTCATGCTATAGAATTTACAGAGATGCTAGCAGCTCAACGTTAGCACTGAGTCTTCAAAAACTGGGCATCGAAAAGCTAACTAACGACAACATGCAGCAGTGGGTGGCCTCAAATATGAAAATCGGAACCTAGACTCATATTATGCAGATTATAGTTCAAAAGGAGCCCCAGCTGCTTGGTTTCAGTAATGGTAAGCCCTTGGTTGGTGGAGTTGATGGTACAATATTTGCACGTCCTATCATTTGTTTCAATATAGATGCAATGGAAGTAGGAGACTATCCTTATGTTCTGCTATTGAAGCACCCATGGCCGCCACCTGTGCTTTTGCATCTCCCTCTTGCTGGTGCTGGTCTGCAGAAGATACAATGGCCGTCCTTCTGCTGCTATGGTGCTGACAAGAAGTCCAAGTTACTGATATTCAGGGATTGTCGACTTCAGCGGCTTGGGGGCAAGCCACATTTCAAGGGGAGGGGAATGTCAGCTACATGGGCCAATACTCGCCATGGGCCGGACATGTACATCACTGCAAGCCCAAGATGGGAAGCTAACAAGGAGTATAAAGGAAGGAAGGCAACGGAGGATGGGGCATCGAAGAATTATTCAGAGACTACTGTTCTTCTTCCTTTACGGTTCTTCTTCCCCAATTTCCCATTCCTGTACCCTAGGCCCTTCTCCTTCTAGAAACTTCTAGTAGCTACTCCTTGCTTCTCTGATCTGTACTCTGTGCTGCCTCCTTCCCCTGCTCCTGTTCATCTCAGCTGTACCGAATCACTACTTGACTATATTGTTGGTGTGTGATTGAGTTGCCAAGGTTGGGTTGCTAACATTCGCCCTTGCACGGTTGCACCCGCGATAATTGCCGTTGTGGTCAGCCAGACAGCCGGATGGAAGAAGAACCCGAGTGCCCGACTGTGGGGTTACCAACTTGCACCAGCAGTTAGTTAAAAATTGCAACTGTACTCTACTCCATCCATTTTCGTTATAAGTCAAACTTTCAAACTTTGGTCATCAATTTAAAAAACACTTTCCTATATGTCAGGTGCCTAATTTTTTATTATTATTGTTCATGCAACGTGCAATTTGTCATTGTTGGGCTATTATTTAGAAACAAAATTATAAATTGTCTCTTGTGAGCTATCCTTTTAATTGTACTACTTGCTTGTATAAGATTGTTGCCTAAAAATTTCTAAAAATTCAGACACCGAAATACAACATCCCCCTTTAAAAAGTTCATATAATACTGTTTTTTACATGTCGTATTAGCTTTGTTGTAAGTCAAATATATATATATATATATATATATATATATATATATATATATATATATATTTTTAATTTTGATCACTAGTTTTTATAAAATACATATGTTAACAATGGAATTTGTTTTTTTAGATTTACTATAAGAAATACCTTCATAATAGCATTTGTTATAAGTCAAATATTCCTTGCACCAACATGAAAAGGAAGCTTTTGTTATGCATGAATCAATCTCTGTTTTGCTTAAATTTCTATTTCTAGGATAGATGTCTCAATCTTTTCTGATCTAACCACTTGTAATGAAATATGCTTTTCAGAAAGATACTGTAAAAACTTGCTACGACTTCATTACAAAGGAAACAATATAGAGATCTCAACGATATAATGAGCTCATGAACGCGTGCATAGGCTTTAACATGATCAAGTTCTATGTTTGGTGTGTGTAAGAGAGAGAGAGAGAGAGAGAGAGAGAGAGAGAGATTCGCTAAATTTGGTGAAATATCCAATAGCATTTGGTCCAATGTAAGCCACCCTATTTTTTTATTCCCTTCTTCCCTCTCTTTTATGTTCTCTTTTATGTTAGGGGTTTATTTTGGAGAAATTAGAATCTACTTAATGGATTAGGCTATTTGGCTTGGATTTGATATTCCATAACTTTTCCAAGTTCACATATAAAAGCATCTCCAAGAGTTTTTCTAAATCTTACTCTCTAAATCATCATTTGGATAGCCATTTGCATAAAAATCGCTTTCTATATATATCATTTCACTCTCCAATAGTTTTTATATATCTCATGCGCACTCTAGAAAATCATTCTTGTCTTATATTTTTGGCTAGCGAAAAATCCAGAATAGAAAATGGTTATATTTAGATGACCATTTAGAGAAGTTGTTGGAGGGTAGTTTTTCACCAAAATCTCTATTCCTAACATTTAGAAAGGATATGGTGAGTCACTTGAGATGCTCTAAGTCTATCTCAAATTCGTAGGGTGAGAGATAGAAATTGATTCTATAAATTACCATGCTATGTTTCTACTCTTCAACTTATAACACGTTCTTCAACTTGCTTCCCTATAGTAGAAATACAACTTATAAGTATCTCCCTTGTATGGCTAACAATTATATACAAATATATTCCATACATATAGAACCATATTAGCTTAATTAATTTGTGCCTAAATTATAATTATTAGAATGAATTCAATTTCAAGGATCCAAACAATCCTTTATTTTTTTTAATTTGTTCCAACAAAAAATTGTATTGTTCCATATTCTATTCTAGATTGTTCCATTCATGACAAATTTATTGGTTTGGTAGTATAATATAATTGTTTGTTTTCAAAAGGATATAAGAATTGTAATTATATTTTTGTTGTTTCAGCAAAAAAAACATTGTTTTATCTGTGACATTTTGGTTAAGAAAATTTAATTATTCCAAGTTCGAATGCGTTTTATGTTATTTATAATTGTATTTTTTACTTTTATCGTAGGAAACATCCATTACTCTATGTTACATTATGAACTATTCCATAAAATTATTCTAGGATTGTCAACTTTTTTGTTAGTCCAAATACATGTGTTTTTATTCAAAAGTTAATGGCTGTGATAGTACAAGTCAATTGCTCTATGATTTTTGAAGTGTTCTATGACATTTCGTGTTTCTACACTTATAGTATATATTTTTATTGTCTCATATTATATATGTTGAGTTTTCAACATGATATTATTTTATCTCCTGCTATCAAAAGATGTAGACATTAATAAGGTGATAGAGTTTGATTGGCATAATTCTATCATATTGTTAGCTCGACGATTAATAAATAGGAAAGGAGAATATGAATTTAATAAAAAACCCTAACCGGACCTAAATTATATCTAAAAGGCCTTACCATCCCACCTGGCTCTCTATTGGTTTGGGCTGAACCGCTGAGGCCCAAAATTTTCCTCTCGTAGAACCGACCGGCCTCCCACCTCTCTGTATAGGTCGGCAGCCCATCTCAGTGTGAAATTTCAACTCAGGTGAATATCGTGAAGTCTGTATAGGTCATAGCCCATCTCAGCATGAAATTTCAACTCAAGTGAATATCGTGAAGTACATGTACATGTACAACTTTCCTTAAAAAAAGGTACAACATGTTTTTTTTGTTGGTAGGAAAAAAATTTCAGCACCCGTCGATAAATATGATATTTCAGGAATTTTAGACTAAATTTAAACAAATTCAATTTTTTTTAAAAAAATGACAGAATTTTTGCTAAAACTATCTCTAATCCCTTCATATCACATTTGTATATAATAAACGACAATATATCACAAGTTATAACACACAATTGATATATCCATAGCCCGGTGTTTCATGATAATCCAAGATCCCAAATATTAGTAGTCTAACGGTCCAAATATTAGTAGTCTAATCCCAAATATTACATTTAAATGCAGACTTGGAAAGTCCCAAGGCATTGCAAATTAATGAAGTGCCTTGGGATTTGGGGTCCCAAACAGGAGAGGAGAGAGTGGAGAGGAGAGACGGCTAGGGTTTGCAAATGAGTGAGAGAGAGCACCCTTGCCCTCATGCTCTTGGCATTATATATAGGCAATGACATTTTACAATCGGCCCCTTGGTGGTGATGAAATTTATAAGACATTACACCAACCCCTATTGGGTCTCTTCAAGTGGGAGTTGGCCCAGACACCACACGGGCTTTCCTCAATGGTAGCCCCTTAGCTACTAGGTTATGATCGGTACTACATGACCATTGTAGATGCTCATAAAAGAAGAGGCACAATACAACTCGAACCATGGTTGTGAGGATTGCCCTTCGCAACCTACACGTGCATGCCTCACTAAAAACTTCATCCCAAAAACCCTATGGAAAAAGAGGCATGGGGAAAAGAGGACACGCATGACTCTAGCCTATGCATTCTCAAGGCTTCTAGTCCCAAGCACCTTCATCTTTCGGATGTCTTCATCTTTGGGCTTCGGCTCTTTTCACTGCTTCTGACATGGTTCATCTGCTTCGCCCAGTGCATAGGTATTCGCCTCTGGGACCTCCTCGATGCGCCTTGATCGTGATTACTTGGTCTGGATGAGCATGGCGAGACACGTGGCGAGAGAAGAGTGCTTTAGGGCGATCCGAACCATCGCAGTTGGTCCGTACAGCGCGAGCGGACCAGGTCCAAAGCGTTTTGAGCTCTTTGGATGCTTATTGGAGTGCTTCGAACTCTCCTTGTGCTTAGTCCAGACTCTAGTGAGGAGGTCTAGTTCGAAGCGTGCCGTGGGCGCGCAACGGTCAAGTGACCGTTTAAACCATTGAGGTGGTGTGCGTTGATTGGTTGAGAGGGTCCGGACCCCCAAGGGCATAATGGTTAGGAGACTCCTTGGGGTCTATAAATAGAAGAGGGATGGCTTGGGCTCACTCTCTTATACATTTTCATCCATGTTACATCCTTATGAACTAAGCCAAACACCTCCTACTCATCTCCTCCATTGATTCATCATCTTTGTAAGATTAGGAGTGATCCAAAGTTTATTTGCTTGAGTGATTGCATCTAGTGGCAGTGGCGGAGCTATAGAAAATTCAAGGGGGTGCGCTTGCCTTGTGGTTGCATAGACTTTTTATTTTGAGGGTGTGAATATGGTGAAAATTTAGCTATAATCACTGTTTTTCTTTTTTTGCATGGGTGCGGCTGCACCCACTAATGACTATATACATCCGTCCTGTCTAGTGGTACTTGGGGATCGTTGGAGCTATGATTTTCTTGTTACTCTTGGTGGTTGGCGCCACCTAGATGGCTTGGAGCAGCGGAGGAGCATTGGCACGAGTTGGTGATTGTTCGTGGTCATCTCCCGGCTCGGCGATCTTGTGAGGGGTTCTTGACCTTTTTCGGCGAAGTGCCAAAAGGTACTCTAGTAAATTGCTTGTGTCATTGAGTACCCTCATTTGTGCTTGGTTCTTGCGGCGTCCTTGTGTAGGGCTAGACTTGTGAACGTCTATTAGCTCACCGGACCATCAAGTGAACGGTCAACACAACGGGGACTAGCGTGTTGGCAAACACGTGAACCTTAGGAGAAAAATCATGTGTCTATTGTCTCTTTGGATTTCTCTCGGTATTCACTTAGTTTTCATTGATTGATTGATTGTCACTCGCCACGGCGGTATATCCTCTCTACCACTCCTTTGCGATTACATTCTTATATACTTGTGTTAGTGGTAGTGTAGTTAGCTAGCTAGTTGTTAGTTGTAATTAGTTTTCTAGTTAGCTCAACTAGAGTAGCATTAGTGACATAGCCTTTAAGTGTGACATAGAGATTATAGTCACTAGAATTGCTTCGATAGGTGGCTTGCAACTCTATTAGAGCTAGAGCAAAAGGCCTCGCTATTTGTTGTACTAATTATTTGCTCTAGTCCATTTGTTGAAAATTTTATAGACTATTCACCCTCCTCAAGCCATTTAGACCTTTCACCCTTGCGAGGCTGTTGTCTACTCCTACGAAGAGTTCCCGCACGGTGGAGGACCGAGCTCACGCCGAGGCAGCAGTGACGAGCATGGTCGTGGCAGGGGAGCCCCCGACGTGGGTGCGCCTGGGGCGGATGCTACTGTAGAAGAGGTCATGGGTGTGGGAGCTGGCGCCGACCTCGTGCTTGGGGGCGAGGCCCCAGAGGTCCTGGAAGAGTTGGCGCTCATCCCCATCGGGGGGGGGGCTTACGACGGGCAGGGAAGACTTCTTCGTCTGGCCGCATCCCACGGACCCTTGCAAGGCATTGTTTGCCGTGGACGACGTGTCCGAGCGAGCTGCGTGGGCCAACGCCTCGAGAGGCAACGAGGAGGTCCAGGCGAACCCTAATTGCACCCAAAATTAATGCTAGGTATATTTGTTTAGTGATTCTACTATCTGGAGGATGGTGTTTGAATAGTAACAAGCTAAGATTCTTTTCCTTTAACCAAGTCTCGAACTTCTGTAACAATCATTTTGTGCCGACAAATCTCCTCAAATCATTCAAATATAAATTTCAAAACACTTGAAGGCACAATATTTGGTGAATAATAATCGACACACCCAAAATTTCTTTCAACAATTTTGGGTCGTTTGAGTTGTAGTTGAGTCAAGTTGGCGATCCACCATAATAATTGCAAAACCAAATTCCATTGTTCCATATTATATTCTGGATTATTCCATTCATGACAATATTATTGTTTTACTAGTATAAATACAATTATCCTAAGATTTTGAATAGGTTTTAGGATATTGTGATTATATTTTTTGTTGTGTCAATAGAAAAATACATTGTTCCATCTATGATTTGGTTGTTTGGAAAATTTAATTATTCCATGGTTTGAAAGTGTTTTATATCATTTACATCTATATTTTGACTTTTATAGTAGGAAACATCATTGTTCTATGTTACACTATGAACTACAATTGTATTGTTTTCCTAGTACAATATAATTATTCCAAGACTTTCAAAAGGTTTTATGACTTGTAATTATATTTTTTTTTGTTGTTTTAGTGGGAAAATCCATTGTTCCATCTATGAATCTTTTGTTAGAGTTTTTTTTAAGTATTCCAAGGTTTGAAGGTGTTTTATATGTTATTTACAACTGTATTTTGACTTTTATAGTAGGAAACATGCATTGTTCTATGTTACATTAAGAACTATTCCATTAAATTGTTCCATGGTTCTCAATTTTTTTTTGTAATACAATACAAATAGCGTGTTTTTTAATTTAAAGTTTAATGGTTGATAGTACAAGCAATTGCTCTATGATTTTTGAAATGTTTCATGATATTTTGAGTTTCTACATTTAATAGTATATTTCTATTTCCTCATACTATATATTTTGGGTTTGTTTAATATGATACTAATTAGCTCCTGCTTTTTAAAAAAGTAGACATTAACATGGTGATGCAGTTCGATTATGATCACTATTTATTGGTTAGCTCAGCGATTGATAAGTAGGAAAGAAGAATATGAATTTAGTAAAACCACAATAACCGGGCCTAAATTTTATCCAGGAGGCTGACACCACTCACCATCCTGTCTCTTGGTTTCGGCTCAACCGCCCTAAAGCCCAAAACTTTTTTCTTGTCAAACAGGCCGGCCTCCCACCTCTCTGTAGGCCGCAGCCCATCTAAAGCCCGATGTAGGCTCCAGCCCATCTAAAGCTCTGATTTCTTACGAAGGAATTTCCCCATTCCCAAATCAGTGCTCACCGGTGTTTTAAGTAGCTGACTAAAGTGTTTAGTGGTATATCTCTAAATCAAAATCAACTAATAGCGAGTCAAATCATACTATAGCAGAATATAGCTGCTAAATTTTACGTACACCCTGCCTCGAAAGGCTAGTAGTCTGTAGACGCAGCTATAGCGGGATCCTCACAGACTCCGGTCTCTCTTGCACCGCGGACGGAGTAGCCGCCGCCGGTGTCCTGTAGCTCCGGGAAGGCGGGCGCGTCGACGACGACGGCAAGCAACATCGGTCGCGACTCGCGAGACGTGCGCACGGTGAGCTGAGCAGGAGCTTTGGAGCAGTGATCGATCGATCGAGGTAACCCACCAGCAGGCCAAATCCTTCGTGAATCTACTGATTTGGAAACCGCAAGTCTCACCTGCAGCTCGACGATGGAGGTGGAGGAACCACGGCAGCCGGCGACCCTTCCTGTGGATCTCCTGCTCGAGATCATCGCGCGCTCCGACGACGCCGCTACCGTCGTCCGCTGCGCGGCGCAGGGGCTTCCTCGACCAGGGCCTTCGAGATCATCTACTGATCTGGAAACCGCAAGTCTCACCCTCTGCGCCATGCTCGATCCAGGCTTCCTCGACCGCCTCAGACGCCGCGCGGAGGCCAACGGCGGATTCAACCCGGCCCTCCTTATGGTGGTGTCCTACCGGCTGACTGCCTGCCGCAGCGACAAAGGAACGGCCACAGGCACCGGCACCGACTCCATCGTCGTCCAGCCACCCGGGCGCGCCTCCGTTTTGACACCGATATGCTTCGGGGTCGTCCAAACCTGCATCCTCCCGCGACGGCCTCCTCGTTGTTCATCGCCACGGGATACTACTCGTCTGCAACATCATCACCGGCCAGTGATCTCTCTTCCTACTTCCTAGCATGGGGCAGCGAGGCGCCAGTATCAGATGCATGTACCAGCTCGCCTTGCTTTCCGTCGACGGTGCCGGCCGCTCCTTCGAGCTGCTTGTCATGTACAACGAGGAGCTCAACGGACGCCTGTTAACCCAGACCTTCTCTTCACGGGAAGGCGACTGGGGCATCGCCTGTTAACCCAAATCCACATCCACAACCTTTTTTTTTTTCGAAAGATCCGTTACCGGCTTTCATTGATATAAGATAAGAGCAAATTACAGAGCTAGCTAGTGGCACAAGCTGCGCCGCTACAAATTTTGCTTAGGACTGGAATACTCAGTCCCTCGCCACCCCTGCACTTACATCAGCTGATTTACATGAATGGTTTAGGACTACGTTTACCGCAAGGCTTCCTAAGGAGGAACCACTGGAAACATCGTGTTGTTGCTAATCGTAGCTGTCGGTAGAAGTTTCTCCGTGCCTCTGTTCGGGAGGCCGTATCGTATCGTGGATTATTTATTGCTGGCTGGTTTGGTGTGAGAGAAAAACACTGTTCCCAGCAAACGAACAGGCTCAGATAGTCAGAAAAACACTGTTCCCGTATCGTTTACGATCTTTCTGTCTTCTTGAAGACACGGGCGTTCCTTTCAATCCAGAGCTCCCAGATCGTCAGAGTGGCCATCGAGCACATCCCGGAGCGTGCTGAGGGAGCTGCTGCAGTCACTAATCCAGTGAACCATTCACCTATTTCTGCAGTTTGATCCCAGTTTTCAGGCATCAGGGAGGCTGCCTGAATCCAGTTCCCAACCTGCTTCCATACCTCTCATGCCATCGGGCACTCGCAGAACAGATGGTGGGTCGTCTCCAGACTCCTCAGGTATACCTGGCAGAAGTACTCGTTCGGCCAGCCTCTGATCTGCAGCCGAGCTGCAGTCCAGATCCTGTTCTGCAGCATGAGCCATATGAAGAATTTACATTTTGGTGGTACTTTTGTCTTCCATGTTTGGGTTGCTGTTTGGCACTGCGTGTTTCCAATGAAGTGCATAGCATAAGCAGATTTGGCAGAGTACGTGCCATCCGGTGTCAGTATCCAAGTAATGGAGTCCTGCTGCGAATCCAAGAGTGCTATGTTCTCCAGCTCCTCCCATAATTGGACGTACTCCACTATGAGTTCTTGGTTCAGGTTGTAGTCAATGTCAGTGACCCATTTGCTGTTTGTACTGGCCTCCGCCACCGTCCTATTTTTTCTCTTGCTATGGGCCTGTTTAGATTTAAAAAATTTGCTGCAGTATCCATCACATCGAATCTTGCGGCACATGCATAGAGTACTAAATATAAACGAAAAAAAAACTAATTGCACAATTGGGTGAGAAATCGCGAGACGAACTTTCAAACCTAATTAATCTATAATTAGACACTAATTGCCAAATACAAACAAATGGGCTACAGTGCCCAAACCCAAAAAATTTTGACATCTAAACGCGGCCTATTTTGTGCAGCGCCGGAAATCGTGCAGCCAGCGTGTCACCAGTGCGCCAACGCGAGTTCCAGAAGGACGCCTTTCTACCATTCCCCAGTTGGATTACCGTGGCTGCGTTGAACATTGCTCTGTCTTCATCAGATGCAGGCAGCTGTAGGTCCACATCCACAACCTGCCTCCAGGCATCGTCTGCTGCCCCGGCTGTCGTGGGCCACAGCGTTCACTGGCTCTGCTACGCCCGACCCTTCAATTTGATCATCCTTGCCCACTGCACCGAATCAGCACACGCCTCTGCGATCAAGCTGCCGCAAGAGCTTCAAGAGCTGCTTACAGGAATGGTGTCGTCAGTCATCCTGGCTACCACTGCCACAGCGAAAGGGGAAAAGCAGCTAACCTTAGTTGTTGCGGTGGCATTTGTGATATCAACGTGGACAGTTGTGCCGGAGGCGGAGGAGGGCCCAAGCATCAGTTGGACTCGGCAGGAGGTGATCCGGAGACTGGAGATCGTCAGGCCGCTAGCCAGTGTTCTTGACGCACACCAGACAATCTGGTTCAGTATGTTTGGGGAGAGGAGTGGCACCGTGCTCTTCTGGTTGCGGAGTGTTGGGCTCGTTCAGCTCAACCTTGGAACTAAGAAGGCCCTGGTGCTCTGGAGGGGCAGCAACTTCAGCGACTCACGGGCACAGGCATTCTTGCATGAGATGAACCTGATATCTGTCCTCAAATTTATGAAATCTTTCTGAATTTGCTTGTTTCTTTTCTCATGATATGTCATTGAGTCGTTTTTTATCCGCCTATTCGGCTGGGCTTGGACGATCGTGGATTATAAGTTAGAACAGTATTTTTCTCTCACACCAAACCAACCAGCCGTACTTCTAACTTATAATCCACGGTCGTTTCAGCCGAAACGAACAAGCTGTATTTTGCTTGTGGTTAACTAGCCAGTGGCTATGATGATGAACTACTTGTTCTTGGGGTGCTACTGAACCAGAAGCTGCCCTGCTCAACCATTGCACACGCACGGCACGGCAGCAGCAAAAGATTGACCCTAACGGGAACCATCGAGAGTCCCCCAGCGGATCGGAAGCGAAATTCCTCTTCGTCTTGGAATCCTACCTGGGCCCGCTTCTTCTCTCCCCTCTTCCCTTTCTTCTTCTTTCTTCTTCGGCAAGAAGACCGACCCCAACTTGCAGCCGGGGCCGGTGACCGCCTCGCTCTCCAGTCTCCACTCCTCCTCTTTCTTGCCGCGCAAGAACGCGCGCCGCTTTTATCTACCGCGGCCGCCGCCCGCCCCGCAGCCCAGTCCGTCCACGCTCCTGCTTGCCCCTGTCCTGTGGTTCTGGCCTGCCTGCCCCCGGCATCCCGGCGGCACCGAGACGACCAGTCAGTCGATGCTTCGCGAGTTGGAACTGGACGCCGGCCGACCCGCTGCTCAACCCGTCGAGTTCGACATGGTACGGGCTAGCTCTCCTGTCCTGCGCCGTTCTAGTTCCTATACGCTTTCGATTTTGCGGGCTGCTCTGTTCTAGTACATCTACCAGTGCGGCACGTGTCGGCGGTCAATCGGAATAGCGCAACCCGATCCGAGGTAGGAAACCGGCGTGTTGGATAGCGCTTGCTCTTCCCGGTACATGATCCATGATCCGTATCTCTCTGCTTGGTCCCCTCCCCAGACTGTAGTCTGGTCCTAACTCAGGATAGCCATGATAAATTGGGTTCTGTGTGGTTGGATAGAGTTAATCGCCTCCGTGGAGACCATAACAAGCATGGGATTTTACTTGCTGTTTGGCTCCAATGACGCTTATAGCCTGGAGCGGGAATAATTCACGCACACAATTGCTCAACTGTATTAAGATATTGTTCCTAGTGTCTGAACTCTGAAAGTTGTAATATCAGTAGCAGGGTGCCTCTTGTTTCCCTGTCAGACTGAGACTCTGGGAAGCAGAGCTGAATAATTGCAGTTCAAGTGTTAGGGGCTTGATCATTTAGTCTAATTTCTTCGCAGGAGTCTCTGACACTGCATGCCTTTGAACCGTCATTGAACTCTGATAACTTTATGATTGTCACCTGACCTTTTGCTGGGACATTATCTTGTGCCAACAGGCTACTCCCCTGATTGCTGGTTTGTCAGTGGCTGCTGCTGCATTGGGTGGAAGAGGCATGATTAGAGCATGGCAAGCCTTCCGGACCCGGGCAGCAATGCCACGAGTGCGCCGGTTCTACCCTGGTGGATTTCAGGGGGAGATGAATCTAAGGGAGGCTGCATTAATCCTTGGCGTAAGGTGATTTTTTTTCTTTATAATACCTGTGTTTGTAAACTGAGTCAATTTTTAGTAATTCCTGTGGAGAAGAAGGGAGAGAAGTACTGCAGCTTGTTATTGTTGTCGCTAATTTTGTATAATCTTTCCTGGTTGTTTCAGAGAACGTGCCACAATGGATAAGATCAAGGAGGCTCACAAGAGGGTCATGGTAGCTAACCACCCTGATGCTGGTGGCAGCCATTACGTTGCATCAAAGATCAACGAGGCAAAGGACATTCTAATGGGAAAAGGGAAGTCTGGGTCTTCGATCTTTTAATTGACACGAATGAAATGATGCTTATTTTGTTGTGACATGGATGAGGCTGTAGCTTTTTCGAGGGATTGACAGTTGCACATTTCACATTTCTTAACAATGCTGTGCTGCTTGTACAACATATCTGAACAAGGATACAGATACAGAATTGAATCAACTTATTGTATGGATCGTAAGTTATTGTTCCACCTGATTCAAAAGAGTAACCATGTATATCTCAGAGCCTCCAATACTTGTCTCGATGTCTTACACCTTTGTTTCTTGAACCTCTCTGATGCATAGTTGTCACAATTGGATTCGCTCCTTCTAAGATGATAATGTTGGAGTTTTTGACTTACTATTCTGCATCAATGCTGTCATCAGTGATGGCAGATCATGATTAATTGGTTATAACTATTCAATTCGTGACATGTAGGCAAGTGTCTAGGCACCTAGGAGAAAATTTATGAATGACATTTCATAGAATACTGTGTCAACTGCTCTAGATTCTGGATGATGGTTATGTTTGTTAAAGGTCAGTCATTCTTCCATAATAGAATAGTGCGACCATTAGGTCGGTCCTGGAGGAATAGAAAATATGACTACTGAGCTTCCAATTCAACTTGGAATCATTGCAGGCGCTGTTCATTTGTTCTGGTGTCAAAGCTTCCGTTAGACTTCAGTTGTCGAAGAGCTTGTATTAATTATCTTCACTTCAGTAATAAATTTACTCTGAAATTTTGAAAGAACCTTGAAACACTGCTGGAAGTCAGCAACCAGGACTGTCAAAACAATTCTTTCATAAACTTTTTTCTGTCTAATTGAAATTACAACTTTTTTCTGTCTAATTGAAATTACAAATTAGCAGGTGAATCTTGGAATGATATACCTTTTGGAACAAATATCTTGTAGAATGGTAAAGAAAGTTCCATCAGGATTTTTTTGGGTGAAGTCACTGAATCTTTTCATCTTGGTTCCACACATGACAATTGTCAGTGTAAATAGTTGTTATCACTAGATTACCAGACGTACTTCACAAACAAGTTTGCATTAACTTTGTTCACTAACATCACCATAATGAACTTGGAAAGACAGCAGGTGACTCATTCAACTTTGCCCTAACGATATGTTGAAGTGCATAGAATCTTCTGGTGTCAGATTGTTTTAATAGCACCATTTATCGAAGATATAGACTACAGAGTGATATTAAGTGGGTTGATTAATTTTTTTGCTTCATCCTTTTAATACTAATTTGCACAGACCATTACATTAAACAACAGCAATAGTTGATGTCAGTTTCATAGAGCGTGGCCCCCATCCCAGGACTAATTCATGACATGTTTGACGCACTTATATTGACCTCGCATCATCCTAAGAAACAGACCTTCCATATAGCATAATCTGAAGACCAAATCACTGCAATTTACCTCAGGTGAAACAGTCAATCCATACAGTGAGTTAGACCCACTTCAGTTTGTTATTCGCCGTTTCACCGCATCAAACTGACCTACCAGCCTCAGAAAAATGGAACAATGCTTTAACTTTAATCATCTTCTCCTGGAAGTCCAAAATTGACAACACAAACGGCCTGTTCGCTGGTTGGTTTCTAGGCTGATAAGTCCGGCTGGTGCTGGTTTGTTGCAAGAGAAAAAACACTGTTGGCTGGCTGATAAGCTCTGGCTGAAACCAACCAGCGAACAGGCTGAAAGTCCTATCTCCTATGGTGCAAGGATTCAACTCTTGCCAATTCCAGTCAAAGGTTGAACTATTTCAATGTCAGCTGCAATTGCAGATCCCAAGTACTAGCATCCATCTTGTCCCTGGACCAGCAGGGAAAAAAAATTCCAACAGAGTGGTCCTTCCTCTTGGACTGCATTTCTTCCAGCTACTGTACTTGGGATGGCTGCGCAGGACGCAACATTCAAGCACGCACAATGCTATACCAATCATATTCAGAACTGAGCTAAAGCAGACCTGAAAACAGTCATTGGAGTAATGTGATGTTCCCTTGGGGCTCTGTCGTTGCAAGAACTGAAGACTGAAAGGTACAGGCCAACTTGAAAGAAACAATTCCTTCTCTGAACCATGGATGACAGATGCTTCTTCCTCTGTACTGAGAATGTGATGGTTCAATAAAACTATGGCTGCTTGACTTTCATAATATCAAACTGTGGCCAAGATATATTTCCTGTACATGATTAAGTTCGGATGGTACCTATGCTGTTGGTGTTGTCTCTGTGGCATTTGTTTCTGCTGACCTAATACTAAGATTCTAGAATTCTGGTTAGAGGCAGCAACCATGATGTATAACTGAATGTTTTGAACCATTCCAAGTCCATTCAGTATAGCGCTTGTCAATGTTCATCTTGACAATGTTAAGAGTACTGTTGCACAGGCTGACATCTTCCAGGAATTATATATGAGGTACAAAAAGTCGACACTTGTTGCCGTCTGTGTTCTGAATTTTGAGAGTTCCTTTTAGCTTTACTTTCAAAAAAAAAAAAAAAGAGAGTTCCTTTTAGCTTGTTCGTTGTATGTTGGTTGGACAGAAAGGTTTTAAAGGTTAATACACTACGTAGTGATAAGACTGACTCAAGAACTGCGTACCTTCGAGTCGTAGCTCAAACGTTAGCTGATAATAACAGGCTGCATGGAATTCTACAGGAAGTTGAATATTTGTCATGCCTGGTATATTTACTTAGTGATTCTACTATCCGGAGGATGGTACGCTAAGATTCTTTTCCTACAACCAGATCTCAGAACTTCTGTAACTATTTGTCATTTTGTGCTGACAAATCTCCCCCTTAGATTACTCGAATATAAATTTCAAATATTATTAGACGCATGAAGGTACAATGGTGGATAAAAATCAGGGAGATACTAGCGCCCGGACGCCTGGACAAAAGCGATAGTCCGGGCGCGCGTGGACGCGCGCGCCACCTTCGTCACGCGCGCCCATGAAAGGCCGCACCTACCTCGCCTGCCGCTCCTTCCCCTGCCCCCTCTCTCTCTCTCTCTCCACGACCGCAAGTCTGGACGCCCATGCGCCTGTGGAAACGCCGCGCCCGCTGCTCCTTCCTCCTGACCCCCTCCTCTATCTCTGGGCGGGCGGGACCCGAGAGCCGGCACGAGGACGAGCACGCCCCGTCCGTGGGATCCTAGGTGCGATGCGCGCCCTGACCGCTGGCCCATGGCTCGCCACGCTGGACTCTACCTCTAAAACATGAAACACTTGGTTGCAACTGAAGCAGATAAAACATTGGGAACATACAATTGCAACATGTGTGTGAAACATATGCAATGTCCAGATAAAACACTTGCAAATTACAATATGAAAACACTTATTCCAACATAAGACTGAAATAGCCGCAACATGTCGAACATACTCTTGCAACAGAGGTGTGAAACATGTGCAACATTCAAATAAAAACGCTCCGCAACATAAGTCTGAAACAAATGAAACATACATGCCTCTGAAACTTGCAACATGCCTCTGAGACACTTGCAACATATGCAACATCCAAATCTACTTTTGTAATATCCATATGAAACACCTGCAACATACCTCTAAAACATGTGAAACACTTGAAACATACATTTGCAACATATGGGAGGGGAGGTCGGGGCCGGTTGATTCCGGCCACAGGGCGCGAGCACCACCAGCATGGGCCGCGCTCATGGGTGCCCTTGGCTTGGCCAGGGACCGATCTGAGGCGTGCGACGGCACCACAAGCACCAGCATAGGCGGGCAGCGCACCCAACAGCACAGGAGCGAGCGGCGTGGGTGGGACTGCGTGAGCAAGGAGCGAGAGGCGCGGGTGGGCGCGTGCGACAATCAGGAGCGAGAAGCGAACATCGCAGGGTGGGGGCACGTGCGGGGAGATGGTTGTGGTGGCAAATGCGAGTGGAGCGGACGGACGGCCGCACGGTGCCGTGAAGCGTGCGATGGACGAGGAAGTAGGTAGATATTTTTGAGAGAGAGATGTGGGAGACGTAAGAAGGAGGAGGCAGGCTTGGTGGGCCGCATAGGGCCATGAAGGTGGCGTCCGATCAGACGGACGCCCGTCCGTAAGGACTACCGTAAAAATCAACCCCCCCCCTCCCCCAAAAAAAATCTTTCAACTATTTTGGAGCACTTGAACTGTAGTCCGAGTCAAGTTTGTGATCCACCATGATCCAAAACCTCTGAATAGTCCAGAAGTGCCTGCTACTTAGGTAAAAGGAAATAAAATTGCTTCAAACCTGACACTTTTTTCCACTTGGAAACTAGAATCCATCTCTAATACGTTTATCGGAATGTATAGCTCGTGTCGAAGTAGCCAAGTAGGTGTAATTGTATACCTTTCTGGATAGACAAGACAACCGAAGAATATGGAGGATTTAAGACTTACGGTGTAAAGTTTCGGGGTGTCACGTCGGTTGTTATATGAGGGTGTCGTATGAGGTGTTCAGATACTAATAAAAAAATAAATTACAGAATCCGTGAGACGAATTTATTAAGCCTAATTAATCCGTCATTAGCATGTGTGTTACTGTAGCACTGCATTGTCAAATCATAAACTAATTAGGCTTAAAAGATTCGTCTCGCAAATTAGTCGTAAACTGTGCAATTATTTATTTTTTAGTCTATATTTAATGCTCCATGTATGTGTCAAACATTCGATGAAATAGGGAGTAAACTTTTACAGGATGAACTAAATAAGGCATGAGTTAACGTAAGTCCTAAGGATGCAATTTTTAGCAGCCAAGTTGGGCTGAATTGCAACTTCTTCCTAAATACTATCATATATTTTTTTCTTATCTTAAGAAGAACTAGTAATGGGAATGTACCAACGAGAGTTTACACTTTGTTTAACGTTAGTCAAGTACGCATGAATGAACTCTTCTTTTTTAATTACTGCAGGCTTTCATATGTTTTATTCTTCATCTATTCTTTGTAGCGAAGGAATAACGTGATAGTATATGCTACCCTTCGTTGTATGATTATTCACAGTTACAACATGTACAGAAATAAAATCGATAAT